TTAGAAGACTTTCCTTAGCCTCGGATCTGGTATATCGATTAGATCGAACAAACGAGGAGCAGGGCTGCAACAAGTAATGCGTTGAAAACAGCATAAAGTAGTTCGAGAACCTACAATTTTTTCTTTGTATCCATACTACCCTTGAACTCGTTTGTCTTATCAAGGATGATGAAGTTGGTTCGACCAAGATTCTTCTGAAAGTTCCCCAATAAATAATGGGTATTTTCATAAAAGAAATCTAAAATGATTTAGAAATTCTACCTTCACAAGGTAGTCAATTGCTTGGACACCATCGTTTGTGGTTTCCACGACATAGGAGTCTAATGCTGCAGTAGTCGTCGAAATTGCAGCATCATACTTCTTGTCTATCGTACCCAGGTCACCCTGAAAATGTCCAGAAGATGGGAAAGAAAGTTGTGTAAGCCCAACAACTACTTACCAATCTACCGATGAGCCCTTTAAGCAACCCTTCTGCCTTTGCCTTAGCCAAAGCCTTCTGTCGCTCGGTTCCAGCGATACCAGACGAAACCAGTTGCTTGTCTTCGGATACTTTTGCTCGCAGCACGTTAACCTGAACAATTCAAAAAGATAGGAAAAGAAGGCCAATCATTTATAGATTAATGAACTTTAATACAGATAATGTAATAATAATAATACCCCAAGATCATAAAATTTTCATAAAGCTGCGGACGACTCTCTGCGAAAACTACTTTTAGGATACAGTTCCAGAAACCTCACGCTATCGTTTTGCTCAATTAAAAAAATTTTAGAAGAAAGAACGAACGGTGTAGCATCTTGTCACGCACAATGAGCATGCAGAGTATCCAACAAGTCCCTTCATCAGGGAACTCGTACATTCGGCATTGAAGAAAAACGTTACCTCTTCCATGAGCTTGTCCTCCTTCTCCTTGATAAGAGGTAGAGATGCTCTTGCTTGGGCCAACTCCTCCTGCACCTTCGGAAGAGACACTTTTAGTTCATCCATTTCACTAGAAAAACGAAGTTATTAACAGAAAAGAAGCAGAAGCAAACTGATGAAAAAAAAGACGGGATAGGAAAGTCGATGGCTCCAAACATACGTCGTTTTCTTGCTCAAATCCTCCTTCCATGTAGTGAGGTTGTTTTGGAAATCGGCCAAGCGTTTCCGCAACTTGGTTTCTTCATGGGTCATATTCTTCAGCGCCTCTTTTGCAATGTGTATCTTAATACCAGCGATATAGTTTAATTCCGGAATAAATCTACAAAAGCAGAATAAGATACCTTGTTCTTTGCGTCAACCTCCTTGAGCACAAGCACTCCCATTTCCTCTTCGAGCCTGGCTCTTTCAGCCTTTTCTGGTCCTGCCTTTCTATCGAACTTATCTCGATTGTCATCAGCCTA